GTCACTTCCTACTTCCTATTTGGCATGACTGCATCGTGCAATGCGGTGTCCAAATCAGTCTTCCAAAGCATACGGAAGTAGGTCCCTTCTGCTCTGCTTCCCATCAGGTAGGCAACACTGAGTACTCTAACTGACTCTTTCACTTGGTTACCACTACCTCCTCCTCCTTCACACGCTCTGATGGACGTCCACAGTCGTGGAGCAGCGGCAATAGTCAGGGATGAGGTGGTTAGGCGTGAGGGCACAGTTGACACCCAACTGCGTTGCCAATCTCCCAAGTAGTGCGCTGCATGACTGGTGCATTTGACGTGCATTTATCCGATTCTCCACATCGTTGGCGATGATGCAACTGCTCACTCACTCTGTGACACCAATGCTTCGCTCTGTCACTCTGCACTTCACATCTCCCACATCTTCCCACCACATCAAGTGGCATTGATGTCCTGTCCTTGCAACACGCACCGACAGGCTTACGTGAGAGGAGGCACTGCTTCGTGGAACTGAAGCACAAGAAGCATGATCACAGAGTTAGACTGACCTGTTCGGATGGGAAGGAAGTAGGGGACGGAGGAGGAGGAGGAGGAGGAGGAGGAGGAGGAGGAGGAGGAGGAGGAGGAGGAAGAAAGTGTGGAAACGAAATACAAGTGGGACGTTTATTTGCTGACCACTGTTTGTATTTATTCACCGAAATGTGGAGTGTTGGTGGAGTGTTTGGTGTTCAGTGTTGCATTCCCTCCACCTCAGTCAATTCATCATTCCTGACTGTAGTCAAGACCACTGCATGGACGCGAGACCCCCTCCACCACTGCGTTTCATTTGTATGACTGATCTTCCTTCCAACGCTATACCACTCCATTCCACCACAGCATCACTTCATAGTTGTCTTGCCCTCCACACCCTTTTCTCTCATGCCTACCATCCCCCACATACATCCTGACTACCCTCACACACTTCCTCCCTCTCTCTCCACCTCCATTCCTCCCTCCACACCCTCCTCCATTCCTTCCGCCATCTCACCGTTCCACCATTCCACAATGCAGACAAACCCATCCACCGCATCGCTTCCTTATTGTGCAGTTGAAAGGCGCCTCACGGCTACACTTGCCCACCATCATCCACAATGCATCTCTGTGTTCGTGTGTGCGGAGCACATTCACTACACCCCGTGGACGCCAATCCATCTCATACATGCATCCACTCATTCACTCATCCATCCACACGCCTTGTAGACACATTCCACCTGCAATGAAATTGGCCCAATTGGCAATTACCATGCCATCATTGCCAATGCTTACGCCAATGTCGATGTCGACGTCAATGTTGGTGATGCGTCTAAGAGGAAAGTGTGCTGGTTGCCACTATTCCTACAATCTCATCTACCTACACACTTGCCTACACAACTGCAAACCCATTCACCAATCCACTACTCCACTGATCTGCCACTCCACCATCATGCCGGCATGCCCACATTCCTGCATTACTACGTGCGTGATGATGTCATCCAAGTGTGCAACTGTCGGTCGAGGTGCAGTCGAAGGTGAAGGTGGAGGCGTAGGCAGTGCCATTGACAATGACAGGCAGAATGGCAAACACATCAACAATGGATTGAGCTGTATGTCATTAGGAGAAGAACACACCTTGACGGAACATGTTAGAGCATGGCACTGCATGCCTTTGCATGACAGAGGATGACAGAATGTGACAGGACATGCGGAGGTTGCGCTGCCTCACATTAACCTATCTCAGTGCACTCCATCATTTGGCTGGTGTGTTTGGCACCTCCATCACCCCACTTCCCACATTCGCACCTCGCACTTCGTCGCATCAATCATTTCATCCAACTCACTTTCCACCACCTCCTACCCCGTCATTCTCCTCATTCCATTTGTCAACATTTACAATTTTCCCCTCCACGATTCAAACACCACACACACACACACACATCACCCTCGTGTCACAATTGCCTCACACTTGCGCCACGGTTCAACTGATGTGCTGACATTGCGCTCACGCCAACACAAACACCCAGCAACACAGAATGCGATGTGCGGGTTGTAGGTGTCAACACTCTGTGCTGCCTCGTCCATGTGTGCCACAGAGGCATCAGACATTCGATACTAGAAGCTGGATGCTGGACACTGGATGCTGGGCTCTCGCCACAAGACACGGACACCGGCTACAAGATGCAAACGTAAGGTTCACGATGGGAGATGAGAGAGGTGAGGTCGCTCACCGCGATATGTCGCATGTCCGACAGCAATGGCAACGGTGTCTACTTGGTCCACTGATAGTCCACTGATGCAACGTCTACCAATTGCCATTCCCTGTCATGCCATTAACCAAGTCAAGTTGAGCTGAGTTGAGTCAAATTAACTTCTCAGTTGCCACATCTCCGTCACAACAGCCAAAGTTGACAAGACAGGTGGAAAGCAAAGAAGGCGCCTCAGCTGCCACACACGCACTTTTAACGGCGACCCACATTTGCGCATTGATGCAGTTCACTCCAGTGCAGTGCAGTGCAGTGCAGTGCCGCCCATTCTGAGAGGTGATATCTGGGTGAATGGAGCACATCGGCGTCAACATCACATGGGGTCAACGGAGGCATGCACACGTTTACTTATGAGCGTGTCAGCACATCAACGCATCAGCATGAGTAGAGGAGCACAAGAACACATGTCACACGACCTCTGTGACATAATTGGTTGCGGCTCCACGTGACCTAATTCACGTTGCACTCCTCACTCCTCACGCCTCACGCATAACTCCTCACTCCCCACTCTTTGCTTCGCCCTTCAAAACGCGACAATTACATGATCACACTGACCGCTACACCGAGACACGAGGTGCTCCATTTCCACTCCACTTTCCCTCCACTCGATGGGACTGAACGATGAGGTGGCACTGAAGCACTGTTTCAGTCAAGCATTGCTGCATCGGCGCCTTCGTGGAGTGTTGGGTGGTAGTGAGGGTCAACACACTACCTCGAGCCGATGTCCACATGCGATACAAATCACTCCTACACTGCAGAGATGCAATGCTTCCCATCAAAATGTACAACTAGACCTCATCCTCATAGCAGACGTGTTGTCGTCGTTGTCGTCGTCGTCGTTATCATCGTCGTTCAACAAGTGGACATAATATCAACGAACAGTGGGAGGGTTGTTGTGGCAATCGGCAATCGATGTTTACAAGTGCTCTCTTCTCCAACAACTCTTCCACGCCTCTTCCACCGCAATTCACCACATCCCCAGTTCTCTATCATTGACTCTCCAGTAATTTTACCTCCACCTCCCATGTACCAACTCATCACGCCTCGCATTCGGCATCAAATCATTCGTGGATCCTACAGTTGCATCTAAGTTGGCCAGTTGGGTATTCATTTCGTTTGCCAAGAGATTGGTGTCGATGACCCACATCTACTTGCAAATCACCAGTACCTGCTCTCCCCCTCCCCTACCCTCAACAACGCCCCACACTAGGTGGGTCATCGTCAGCACCACTGCCACTGTCGACACTGTCGACGGAGGCACCACACACTTGATGCGTTGAGGCAACACAACACAGCATAACAAGAGAGACAGACTGTCATTCATCTCACTACTTGCATCCATTGTGTATCTTCAGGTGGGTGTGCTCACATCTCACGTTGTCACAAATCACATGGTCTTCCCCTCCCTCATCACTTCGTATGACTCATATCCAATCCAATTCACTCCACTCCAATCTGAGCCAACTGGATCGGATAAGCCTATTGGAAGGAGGATGATGTGAAGGAATGATGTGTCAAGCAAGAAATTACCCTAAGATAAGTGTCCGCTACGTCGCCTCAAAATCAATCTATCCATCTACCATCCATCCATCCGTCCATCCATCCATCCATCCATCCATTCATCCATCCTTCATTTCTCCATCCACCCATTCATCCTCTCTTCATCTACCCATTCCTTCATGCGCCCTTCCTCCCTCCCCCACCCTACTCCCCTCTCTCGCCTTCTCACCTCCAGCCACTACCAGTGCCTGCTAATCAGACGACACACTCTCACTTAACGCACACTCCTGTCTCGCAGCCTCACCTCATTTCTTCTCTCCCTTTGAACACATTTTTCCATGGCATTTGCCATACTCCGGGTCTACTTCGTCTGGAAATCGCCTAACCTCCCTCGCTTTCCTCGCCAATAATATGTGCAGAACACTCCGTCTCACCGTAATTAGCATGAGAGTCTCCTCCGAAGCCAAACACACAACCAGACGGAGAGAGAGGTAGAGACAGAGAGTGAGAGAGAGAGAGAGAGAGCTGAGAGCTGGGAGCGGAGAGCGGAGAGCGGAGAGCGAAGAGCGGGTTGGAAAGTAGGTTGTACTCCATGCAATCAGACCGTACTGCACTCGTGAATTGCAACAGGCCTAATATGAAATGTCCCGTTGACTAATTTCCTGCTGGTCTTTGCCTGATTGGATCGTCATCCACCTGACATCACCGATTTGGCAGTCTATTGTTTGAACGTCGTGCATAGATACATATTCACACATGCACTTTGAAAAG